AGAACTGCTCTCGAATTCTTGCAGGACATAAAATCTTTCCACATCCAATCTAAACCTCCCCTGGTGCAACTTGAGGCCATTTCCTCATGTCCTATTGCTTGCTACGTGGGAGAAGAGACCGACACCCACCTCGCTACAACCTCCTTTCAGGTAGTTGTAGAAAGCGATAGAGGCTGAGCTCCCCTCAGCCTCCTTTTCTCCAGGCTAAACAACCCCAGTTCCCTCAGCCGCTCCTCATAAGCCTTGTGCTCCAGACCCCTCACCAGCCTCGTTGCTGTTCTCTGGACACGCTCCAGCACCTCAATGTCTTTCTTGTAGTGAGGGGCCCAAAACTGAACACAGTCCAGAGGAGGGCCACGAAAATTATCAGAGGACTGGAACACCTCTCCTATGAAGAAAGCCTGAGAGAGTTGAGGTTGTTCAGCCTGGAGGAGAGAAGGCTCCAGGGAGACCTTATTGTGGCCTTTCAATATATAAAAGGGGCTTATAAGAAAGACAGAGAGAGACTTTTTGCCAAGGCCTGTAGTGGTAGGACAAGGGACAGCAGTTTTAAACTGAAAGAGAGTAGATTTAGACTGGAGATAAGGAAACAAATTTTTTACGATCAGGGTGGTGAGACAGTGGAACAGGTTGCCCAGAGAAGCTGTGGATGCCCCATCCCTGGAAGTGTTGATGGTCAGGTTGGATGGGGCTTTGAGCAACCTGATCTAGTGAAAGATGCCTCTGCCCATGGCAGGGGGGTTGGACTAGATGATCTTTGAGGATCCCTGCCAACCCAAACCATTCTATGATTCTATGGTTCTATGATTCTATGAATAAGTGTTTCAGGCTGCACCTGTGCATTTTTCTACATAGGGATTAATGAATTATACAGCATTTTCAGGATGTTGTGGTGATGCAAACAATAACTATTGATTTCTGTAGAACTCTGTTCTAATTGCCCCAGGACTTGTTACAGTTTGAATTGATGCTTGTTTTTGAGTTTTTGGACTAAGCAGATTAGACCATGTCAGAATTTTGTTCTGGCTTTTCCCAACAAGATCGAGGTTAATCTCTGAAGTGCTGTGTTTGTGGGCTAAGATAACTACCTAAGTACAGTTGAAGGTATGTCCCACTGCCTGATCAATGTCTTGTATTTACACTTCCGTTATGGACAGGATTTGACCTGATGGATTCATTCAGTGTGAAACAGATTTTTGGAATGAAAGAAAATGGAATTCAGAGCGCTTATGTACGACTTGGAAGCTTTCCTGTTGTTCAGAAAACTGAGTGAGTACCCTGTTTTTTCGCTTTATTTTCATCTGAGCCTCTACTTTACATTAATTGGTTCCTCTAGGTTAACCTTGTAGTGGTTATCTAGTACCTACACATATATTGCTGCTTTAATCAGCTCTTTCAGTTCTGCTGGCGCAGAATATATACAACACGGTCAGGACCCTCCACACCAACTACAGGTTCCATCCTGGCAGCGTATGAGCTGGTTTCAGTGTATCTCAATGGTTGTGAGGAGCAGTATCAAGAAAAGTATCAAGAAATTCACAAAAGAACTTAAGGCTTAGTAAATAACTTCTAAAAGGAATATTTGGTAGCACTCCCATTGAGATATATATTTGCTAATCACAAGAGACCAGTTCCTAGTAGATGTTGTTATCAGTTAGCTAATATGAGTTTTGGCCTCCTAAAAGAATGAGCAATTTTTAATCCTGTGTCAACATGGATTCAGTCCTTGGAGCCTTTTAATGACCTGAGGCTGCCAGTTGTGTCGTAGTCTATCGGAACGGTTTCTCTTCGGGTTGTCATTTGAGTCCTGCTAGCATTAGCCTTGAAAAGAATGAGTGCATAATTTCACTGAATAACCATGAACCATAGATTGAATTGTCATCATTAACATTTTTGCAGTAAATTTCTCTGTGCTGGTTTGAACTTCAGCTTAAAAAATCGATAGTAATTCTTTTCCTTCTTATGGATGAGGACTGTTATTTTTTTTTCTGTTTTAGCTCTTCTACTCGGCTCACTGCATCTTTGAGATTGTCCTGTGACTTACATTTGCTTGATTTCACAATATTTTTTTCATTCTGGAGCCAACTGAATTGATTTGCCCTTCTCCCCTCCCCCTCTTTCTCCATATAAACACACAGTCTTTAAAAAAAAACAGAAAGTACAAATATGATACACTGAAAGGAAAAATGTTTGCTCTAAAGTCCATAATGATGGCAGGTCTCAGGGTAAGTAAATTCATGATCTGGGAGAAGGCCAGCCAACTAAAGACACCTTGGTCTTGATAAGTAGTATATACATAACTGGTGTGTGTGGGGAGGGAAATAAACCTATTTTGTTTGGCTCACAGCAGTCTCTGGGTAGAATCTCTGCTTGCTGCAGCTTGTAACAGTTAGTGGTAGTGTGCTTTATCACTGTAAAGCATTGCCACCAAGACTACATAGAAAGAAGCCCTTGAAGTGAAGAAGTCCAGTTTGCACTTAAGAAATTCTGGGGATTATGATCTACTGAATCTGAGCTCTGGGTGATACTATGACAAAAAACACTAGTGCAGTCCTTGGGTGTATAAGCAGGAACTGTCAAGTATGAGCTATCTCCATATCAGGCAATTCAATCACCACTGCTAGGATGCTATGTCCAGTCTTTGTTTCCATAATTCAGTAGATAGGAATGGAGTGAATGAAAGTTTAAATAACTGGGAAACAGGTCTAACAGTGAGAAATTAAAGAAGTGCAGTGTAGTCAGGTAAAATTAAGAAGTGGTTAGCAACTGAGGCGATCCCTTTCTGTAAGAACCTCTGGGGAATCAAAGTTTAGTAAAGGGTCTTTGGTGCTAAGGATAGCAGTAGACTGAAAGTCAATGGCTACCTGTTAATGACATCAAAAAACAACATGGAAGAAAGGCACACTTTTAACAATGAATGTAATTAACCACTGGAACAAGTTAGCAGAGATTACAGAGAGATCTCCATTTGCATTTCTTTTTTAAATTAAGGGTTGAAGTACTTTGTTGTTGTTGTTGTTTCTGTTGTTGTTTTTCCAGAAAGACTGGGGGAGCGAAGCCAGACCAACCAGCTATGATGACTTTCCTTCTGCCTAGATTGCACCCATTTATTTCTTGTTGTTGTTTTTAAAATAAGTAGAATATTTTATTGCCCAGGACAATTAGAAGTAAAACATCCTCAATTAGTAGCTTGAAATGACTAAGCTTCCTTTTGAATGATTAACAGAAACATGGAATTAAAGAAGAACTTTTATATTTTCAGCCTTTTGTATTTTAATTTCCATACTCATGTGGTTTGGGAATGAACCCAAATGGATATATCCCCATAGAAGGTGTCTGCATATTTGGTTCATTTTCGCCTTTGGATGTCAGGATTCTGAGATGGTGCATATAGGGTCAATGCTCACAGAAAATGCAATCTTGTAAAGCTGCACAAAACTGGTAACTGGAATAATAAACAAAACGAAAACATCTGTCCTGTCTTGCAGATAACCTCAAGCAACATTTAGCAACTGATAGCAACTTCTCATAATTAGATACAAAATCATTAACTGAGTAATATATGTAATTCACTTTATTATCTGCTTAAAGGATTTGTATCTTTTTATATAAGCACTATTACTTTTACGGAGTGCCAGCTTAGCTGCCTGGGAAATGTGCCTATTCATCTTCTGATCTGGAGCCTACAACTATGAACTTTCTTACCATTTGTGATGAGGCATCCTGTGATGGTTCTGTGAACAAGCAAGCACAACAGCCAGGAAAGTGGCTGCAATCAATGTACTGGTCACTGAGGGACTGACAAGTCCCTCTAGCTGGCTGAGGGCTAGTCCCTAAATCTGGCTGGTGCTTCTCCCCACTCCTCAGGTAACTGGGGCTGTCCTGCTGTTTGCTTATGGCTCCTCAATTGGTCTTGTGGCCAAAGCTGTGCCCCAGATTTCTGGTTTTGGGAACTCAGGCTTGTTTCTCATTACTTTTGTCTTGGCTAATGCCAAGCTTTTTGGCTCACTATTCTGTTCTGTTCTCCATCTATTTCTCCTAGTCCTGACTCCAGAGCATTCCTCTTGCCATGTCCATCCCTCAATTTTCTCTGGCCTGATCTGGTTCCAGACTTGCTTCGTCCTCATCCCAGCTGCCACCTCAGAACTTCCTGATGCTTGGCCTAGCTTCTAGTCATGATCTGTTTGCTCTTTATATTGGTACAGTTTTGTCTCCCCCAGTTTTGGAGTCTTGGGGTTTTTTGGGCATGTATACCTTCATGTGTTTGTCTGGAGACTTTGGCTCCTGACATCAACTTTGACTTCAGTTACTTGCCTTGGGTTTCTCTGTGAGCTCTTGCCCTGGTCTCATCATTTGTTCTGCTCCACAGAGAAGAAAATTCTACCCAAAGCTACCAAGACCTTCTACACTAAATATGAAACCTGTTGAATGCTTCCTTGTTCCTTACTTCTTCTCAAACGTATATTTCATATGAGGAAAGGCAGAGACAACTAAGATTCTTCAGCTTGGAGAAGAGAAGGCTCAAGGGGGGGATCTTATCCATGTGTATAAATACGTGATGGGGAGAAAGGAAAGAAGATGGAGCCAGACTCTTCTCAGTGATATCCAGTGACAGGACAAGAAGCAAGAGGAACAAAGTGAAAACATGAAATTCAATCTGAACACAAGAAAAACCTTCTTTAGACACTAGATGATCTCAAGAGGTCCCTTCCACCTTCAACAATTCTGGGATTTGTGGTTCAATGCTGTACCCTCTCCCACTCTGCCAGTCCTGTCTTTCCCTTTCCCCCACTCTTCCCCCATACCAGAGGCAGCTGTTAGGTCTGGTCTGTGACCCGTCCCAAAATCTCTCGTGGTGCTGGAGTTGGAAAAAGGACAAGATACTGTGCTGAAGTCAGGGATGAGAGACACGGCTCCTTACTCTAAGGAAGTGGTGAGAGCAGCCTTCCCAGCTGAAGGATCTTGCTGTGGCCCCTATCTGATCTCATGACCTCTATTGCCAGACAGGTGCTTGTCATCTAGAAGAAAAGTCTGTCCAAATCTGCTGTGAAGTTAGAAGGAGATGTCTATTAGGAGCACACCTGAGGAATTCCTTGTAGGCTGCTTCTTTACTAACCAAAGAAACAGGGTGAATTCATGGGCCCCAGCACTAGGCTCATATCATTTGTGCTCTTCACCTGTTCGTGTGCTAATGTCAAGTTAGTTTTGACTGATGTCAAGCAGTGTTATTCCAGACAATGCCTGGGCCTGCTGTGGAGGATGGAGCATGCCAGGAACTGCTCCCAAAGGCAGTTTGGATATGATCACTCCCTTTGGGAAAGAAGCATTTGGTTGAACTTCACTCATGGCTAGTAAATGGACCCTGACCATTATTCACTAGCGTGGATAGAGTCTCCTACTTCTAACAAGGTAAAGGAGATGAAACATGGCTGAGGTGGAATGAGTGAAGGCTTTTTTGGTCTTTCAGAGAATAAAAGACTGAGGGGAGAGCTGATAAATATACAAAAGGCTGCAGCCAAGAGGGGAGAACAACTTGTTCGCGTGGTTCCTTGTGGAAAAAAGTTGTTTCAGGAAGATTAAACTGCAGCAAGTGAGATTTAGGATAGACTTTTTTTGTAGCATGTAGGGTAGTGAAACACAGGAAGAAATTACCTAGGAAGGTTGTATCTATTCCATCACTGAGGTTTCTGAAGTAGAGGCCAAAGAAATGTCTGCCAAGGATGTATGGGTGGGGTTGATTCTGTGTTGTGACAATCCTTCTACAGCCCTTTCTTTTCCTTTTTCCTCCTTTTTTTTTTTCCTGTCATTCTAAGAGCCTCTGGTGATGTGATGCATATGGACATGAACTGGCTTTCTCCAGCCTTGATTCAGACATGAAAACCACTAATAGTCAATGAGTTACATTGAGTATTAGCGGTTTTTAGGTGTTGCAGAAGTGGTCAAACTTCCCAAATACATTAATTATGCCCTTCCTCACCAAATGCAGGCACCCTATTAATTGTTGTTACATTCAGTGTCTGAAATGAGAACTGATACTGTTATTTTTCTCCATTATGTTGTTATTATAGATGTTGGATCTCATGCACATTGTCACAGATGTTGGTTCTTATGCCAAACAAAAGCACGTAAGAAGGAGGCTATATCATGAAAATGGGCAATGGCTAAGAGAATCTCCTGCCTGGTTATTATAATTTTTCCTTTGTAGAAGTTGTGATTCACCTGACTTTGGAGTTGGTTTGATTAATTCTTAGACTAACCTGCAGCACTGGGGGATTCTCTTGTCTTGGAGTTTTATAATGGCTTCTTCTGCAATCAATCCTGTTGTCAGAATTATAGACCAAGGAGCTGGCAGAGTGCTCCCTGTAGGTACCAGGCATCCAGCAAAGCTCCATAATATGGATCAGCAGTTCAATTCAGCCTTGGGTGAAAGAAGGAAATAAAACATTTCTGGGGACAGCAATTTCTGCCCTTGGATTCGTAAGTAAAGCTGAGCTTCTAGATGGAGATCACTTTTTAGTGAGGAAATAAATGAAAACTCATAAACAGAGTTTTTGTTATTTATGCAGTAATGCATCTCTGTAAAAGATGCAGGGATCAAGGACTTCAGAAACAGCTTTTATCATATCTTCAGAGCAATGAGAGTGTCTTTAGATTTGCTTTTAGCATGAAACCTCTCTCTGTCGGGAACTTGCAGCCAGTTCTTTGGCACCTTTAAAAATCAGTTGAGGGTGACAGGTAATTGGTCATTATAGCTTTCTATCAGTTTAAATCTACCTGATGGGCCATTTGTCAGCCTCTGTGTGATGAGGTGTGGCCAGACTCACAAGGATATTTAGGTACCTAACTCTCAGTTATTTCTGTGGGCTTTAAGCATCTGAAACCCCTTTTTGAATTTAAGCTCGCATGGTGATATTCCTGTTCCCAGCTCAGAGGTATCCAGAAAGACTGTCTCAGCACAGAGGCCAGCAGTTGGCTTTTCCAGATTTGATTGTAGGTTGTCAGGCCCAAGGATCAATGTGATATCTTGGGGGATTAATTTCAACCACATGCTCCTATACCTCCCTGCTCAGCAAAGCAGTGATGCCACAGCCACTGCCTTTAATTCGTACCTGGAATGAAGCACACCTACATATGCAGAGTTGAAAAACCATACGGGAAAGGCAGCATTGAAAACGTGTGTACTGCTGCTGTTGATGTGATGATAGCAAACTTGCTATGGATCAGGAGGAGAGCAAAGCACCCCCAGAGCTTTAACTCCGCTACCTTGTGCCACCACTGAGGAACCATTTCTCTGCTTGCTTTTCATTCAGTAAGAGGCTGGAGTTGGTGGTGGGCTGTAGCTACGAGAGTAGTTCAATACTCTGTATTGGGCACTGTGTGTGCCCAAAATGCGTGTCAGAATCCTAAACAGCAGGACAGAGAGGGAACTCATTAAACCCAGTTGTGATGGTGAAGATAGGTGGTGAGGAGTGAGTAAAGGTAATGCACTAGGCATGTATGCTGAAATGACAGAGATTGAGGAGCTGAGCCACAGGGAAATGCCCCCACTGGCAGCACTCTCATGTAGAAACATCCATGATTTTTGCTCAAGAGGATGGAGTGATAAGCAACACCTTTTCAACTATCAACATTGCCACCTTGTTGAAGTTTCTTGAAGGGGTGGATGTTAAAAGCTGAAACATGATTTTCTTCTCTGACAAACTTGGACGCAATGAGTGTACGAAGCCATTTGACAGGAAATTTACACTAAGGCATGTCAACGGTGAAGGAGACCTGGCAGGGTGCCCTGTTGGGAGGGCCGATGTGACTGACCTGACTCTCTTCTCTTGCCAAACATCCCCTAGACTTTCTTGGTGGCTTTCAGTGCCCCAGTCATGCCAGTTGTATTCTCCATGGCAACTCTGCCACAAGAGTGACAACCGACACGCTTCTTATTTTCTCATGAAGGGAGGGAGTGTCTGGCTATTTTGTGTGCCATGGGAGAGATGGGTGCTGGGGTGAGGTGGATCTGTGACCAGGGAGGTCTAGTTTGTGAATAGCTGTACCAAGAAGTGAGACAGCCTTGTCTGCTCTTCTAAAGGAACGATTTTGTAAAGGAGCTAGTGGAAGCCTGGTTCAGTTTTCTCTTGTGTTGGAAGACTTCAGAGAGTGCCTGTGTCCCCAGCGGGAAGACCAGCTTATAATGGTACATAGCTTGCATGGGCATTTTATATAGCAAAAGCCACAGTAGTGGATGAAACCACTGTGTTCTGAATTTTTAACTTGGCTAAAAAGATAGGAAATCCAAAGCACAGATTAAAAGATGACTGAATATTTTGTCACTAGGAAAGACTGGCTTTCAACCTTTTTTGTAACTGCAAAACAAAGTATTTTGGAAATTTTGAGGTTTTTTGCTTTAAACACTATTAAGAGCCTCTAGTTTTGTGTGTGTTCGACTGTGCCAGTTTCTGCATAGTGATGGACTATGTCAAATATTCCTTAAGAGAATCTGTCTTCATTGCTTTGCTCTTCGTTAATTGCTGCCGTTGTGTTTTGTTTTCTAATGGGTGCTTATGCCTGACTGCTCAGATGTCTGGAAGCAAAGACATGGTATTAAGGAAAGGCCTATTTAGGAATGATCAGAGGAGCAGGCTGGCTTGGGCACGAGGAAAACTGAAGTTAACTGGGACTCTTCAGCTGGAAAAAAGAGATGGCTTAGAGGCATTACAAGCAAAGTTTGCAAAATCATGAATGGCATAAAAAATAGTTCATTGTGTTGTCCCTTATAAGAACTGAGCTAGGTCCTAAACAAACAAGAGGAGGCTTATTATACAGTGGGTAGCAGAGCTGTGTGATTCCTTGCCAAAGGATGTTGTGGATGTAATAAGTTTACTTGAGTTCAAGGGGAGACTGGAGAAGTCCATACAAGATAAATCCATAAAAAGTTATTAATGTAGAAATTGGAGTTGTCTCTGAATTTGACCCCTGGATCCCAAAGAGTTGAAGGTGGGGATATGCTTGTTCTGTTCATTCTTTGGCACCCAGTAATGGCTAGTGACAAAAAAATAATAATACTGGGTGGGTTATCCCTTCTGTCCAGCCCTGCATGCTCATGTTATGCTATGTTCTTATTTTGGGGCTGAGTCAAACAGTGCTGGTTTTGGTTACCTCAGGCTTACGCATGAATTATGGTGTCACACTGAGTAAATTCCTGCCTAATGTGTTTGTAATGTTTGATTTGAGAAGGTTCTTCTGTTCTCCCAGGCCATCAGCCAAGGAACATCTTCTTGGGCAGGCATGAGGTGTAGTGCCTGTTTTGGAGCAAATATTACAATATTTGATGCTATAACTGTACATTTATAGAGAGTTTCAGGTGTGCCTGCCCATTGTCAGATGTTACAGGTCTCCAGTGCATCTAGAGAACAACAGAATGTTGTTACAGATTGCATGAACTGAAGCACCAGGTGAAAAACAACTGCTTTGATGTGAGGGATACTAGACTGCAGATTTTCACTGTTTCTTATTTAATTTGAGAGCTTCACCATTGTTCCAAAAAGGGCTCCTCAAGGACAGAACCACCTGGAGGGCACAAGCTCATGTTCATCTCTCTGCAGGCTGCCAAATACAGCAGATTTTGTAGGAACAATGTGATACTTTTGGGAAGCATTGCTGGGACATGCAAAGTTTCAGAAGTTCTCCTCTTCACTGCTAAGCCTGATACATTGGTCTCTTTTTCCCTCCCCATGCCAGGGATGTATTTCCTCAAGGTCTGCCTGATGAATATGCCTTTGTAACTACCTTCAAATTCCGGAAGGCTTCCAGGAAAGAAGACTGGTATATTTGGCAGATTATTGACAAGTATGGCATACCACAGGTACGAGGCCCTTTGCAGCCAGTAAGAGCAGCCTTGTTTCTCTTTGGTTGCATGAACCAACTTTCTTGCCTTAACCTCCCACTCCTTTTTCCTTGTGGACTAGTAAAAATCCCTTTGCCTGCCTTTCAGTTCATTTTGCCGAAAATCCTTTACCTTTAATTCAAACCTTGGAGGAAGGTTTGCATAGACCTTGATTGTTGTTAGCATGCAAATAGATGTATTAGTTGGAAAGGGGGAGAAAAATATACTATCCTTGCTCTTGAAACCACTTTTGGGTTGTTTTGTTCAGGTAGTTCTGTTTAGGGAAAATATTTTGCCTGTTTGGAAAAAGATAGCCACACAGATGACATAGCTCACACCACAGAGCAGTGAGCTATGTCAAGTTTTTGCACAGACTTCTAGATATCATGCAAAGGCATTATGGGTTCCCTACTTAGGATGTGGATGTAACACCTATTACTGCTCCACAACCCCTAGTCCTGGCTGCTGCAGAATTTGATCTAATAATTTTTGTCAAGTACTCTCAGGTTCTCAGAAGAAAGATGCCATAAGAGTGCAATAAAGGGCTGTCTGTTCCTATATAGCATGTTCTTAGCAGCATGCTATAGTTTCGGGGTTCGAGTGTGCTTGGGGAGGGAGTGGTTTGGATGGGCTGTATGTTTTTCTGCTCAGTACAAACATGGTGGTGATGGCACTACCCATGACTCTAAACTGGGCTGTCGGAACGGGCTCATGTAGCTATGTAACGCAGAACTGCTGCTTTGGGACTGCTATTCAAAAAGATTTTGGGAACTCACAGTGAAGGATAGGGGTAGTTTGAGGTGCCGATGTGGCCAAACTCCTTCCAGCTCTGCAGCTTGCGGAAGGACTGTTTGTTCCCCTGGCTCTGTGCTTTGCTCCATTCCCTGCTGCTTGCTGTAACTGCCTGACTTTGATAAAAGAAGAAATCAATTTGTAAATGAATTAAAAGTGTAATGTCTTCAAAAGCCTATTTTTGCCTACTCCATAGCTTGCAACATCGAGCCGGGGGGGGGGGGGGGGGGGTGTAGCAAGATGCTGTTAGGAATGGCTTGTGTGGGGAGAAAAGCAGAGACAGGTAGAGGGAGAAAGATGGAGGGAGGCAGTGGTGGGATTTTGATTCTGCAGTGATCAAGTGGAGTGACATGATTGAATACAGAATTAAAATGGACTTTTTTTTCCACTCTCACTTGAAAATGCTTTGCTTAAGAATAGTCACTTAGGACCTCATTTCTTGTGTGTTACACTTGATAATTTTAGTCAGAAAGGAAGACGTTTGAGGCCAACTGTCCTTAAACCCTTCTAACTTTCCCATATCCCTAGGCATCGTCTCTTCTATTTCTAATTAACTGGATTAAGCCAGGAACCAGTCTTCGGCACTGACTTTAAGTGGCATGGCCTGGCTGCGTCCACACTGTGTAATACATGGCCCTAGGTCTCCTCTGAGCCTAAGGCATAATCATTGTGTGTTTCAATTTTCTGTTCAAAGCATCTGAAATAAAGTGTGGGCAGTACTACAGCTCAGCAGGCTGTTTTCATACCAGGCAATGAGAGATTTGTCCATGTCCCATGGGACGGTTGAGGACATGTGATGGGTACTAAAGAGCACAGAGCCTGCTGGGAAGTAGTGGAGGAGTGCAGAGAATAGAGGGATCCAGAACAGTCTCAGCTTTGTCTCTCTGCCTTTGGGTAGATGCCTCTGATATGTGCTACCAACCTTGCCCAAGCATTGCCTGGGAGGCATCAAGGTGGCATCTGCTGAAACCATTCCAAGGATTGTACTCAAAAGAGAAGTCTTTAGATGGTCATGGGTCTGCACCCAAGCCTGTGCCCTGCCCCGTCTTATTTACTAGAACAAGTGTAGGCTCCCTGTCCAACTTCGTATCTCACACAAACCTCTGTTCTCTGCTCTTTGCTTGGGCTTCTGACCACACACTGTACCATCCCTGACTTTGGGGTGTCAGTCGCAATGGAAGGCAGGCAGGAGGAAGGAGGAGACTTTGTACTTCACTAGTAAAATCATTTCTGTCTGACCGTAGGTCTCGATCCGACTGGACGGAGAGAACAAAGCTGTGGAGTACAATGCCATTGGGCTCACCAAGGACGCCGTGAGAGTGGTCTTCCGAAATGCACGAGTCAGTGATCTTTTTGACCGCAGCTGGCACAAAATTGCCCTCAGCATTCAGTCAAAGGCTGTCTCACTTTACATAGACTGCGGACTGGTGCAGGTGCTGCCTATTGAAGACAGGGAAAATATTGACATTCAAGGAAAGACTGTGATTGGCAAACGCTTGTATGATAGCGTCCCCATTGATGTAAGTACTGCGTGTGCTGATTAGAGCTGGGGTAATGTTCAGCATTGGCTTTGCAGCATGTGAATGGGGTTTTGGGGGTTATGTTGTAATTGACCCTTTTCCTGAAGCAGCATCACTGAACCATTACCAGACAGATTGGCATCTCATCATGTACAAGACTTGCTGTCTTTCTATGTGATACTGTCATTATCTCCGTAATAGGGATTAAAAATGAGACATTAATTTCATCTTTCTGTCTAGTCCCAGAATGCTCTATAGTTAAAATCAGAGACAAAATCATCCACGAATACCATCAGACTGGGTACTGAACTACACATGTAAAGGTTTTTCCTGTCTGATCTTGGCATTATGAATGTTTCCACCCGTGATAGGAAGAGATGGGGTAAAAAAAGAAAGCTTGTTAACTCAGGAGAGTCATGATATATTTTTAGTTCCTTAGAAAAGATACCTGATATTAAATGACTCTTGCTCCAGTTGAACCAAAGTTGAGACCTGCAGGTTGAACCTGATTGTCCAGTAGCGGTGTTAACCCAGTATAATTTATGCATGATTGTTTGGTGTTTTGAGACGTGTAATCTTTCTTAGCTGTGCAAAATGGATGGAATGTGCATATTAAATGTGCTAATAGCATTCCTCATGCTGGGATAAATGGTCAGAAGATGCAAGGCACAACAGGAGAAAAACAAACTTTATGTCTAGACGAAATTCTAGGAAGGATGGAGGTGGTCAGAATATGTCTTGTCAGACAAAAATTTGTCCAGGACATGGGGATTGCATGCCTCCTTATTTGTATGAAAACCTGCACCAGAATTTTAATAGGCATATTCCGGGTCTCATTAGCTCAGCACTCTTTAAGCACGCTGAAATATCTGTCCATTATTGATACAGAGGGAGATAGATATTGACTACAGGATCCATAGAATCACTATGAATTTAGCCCCATCTGGCTTTTGTTTGTATTCATCTGCACTGTTTGTATCCAAGCAAAAGGACACGCAGTCTTTAATAATTTACTGTCTCTGAGACTATTGCCTCACTTTGTCTTCTAGTTTGATCTTCAGCGGATGGTTATTTACTGTGATTCTCGGCATGCTGACTTGGAGACCTGCTGTGACATTCCCTCTGGACCAGTAAGCTTCTTTTTGTCATCTATTCATTTTCACATGAACACTCTTCATTGAAATCTATTACATAAAGCAGGGAATATATGACAGTGTGGGATTATCATTTTTTTAATGATGATGAATGAAACCTAACTATATAATTGGTAATGTAGCAGTGGCAGAAGAGGATTACTGCAGAGGGATGAGTATGAGGAATTGGAAGTTTCCAAGTTGCTCTTTCCTTGTCAGACTGTCAGGGGAAACAAAACCCTGAAGTGATGATGGAACAACAGAATTCAGCATGAAATATTCAATATGTTTCCCACTGGTTTTATTTGGAAGGAGCTAAAATGGTGCCAGTTGCTGCTTAGTTTCCTGTGCCCAGCTCTCATTAGAAACTTCCACCCTCCTTTCACGCTCCTCCCCTCGATCCTGGTTAAAGAGATTCATTGTTCATTTTGCCACGTTTTTGCCTATTGCTTGAATGAATGGCTTTTGTGGGATTTCGTTCCTCACTACAACTCATTTAGCTGTGCGTTATCCAGTAATGCCTATGCAGTTTCTCTAAAGCGGGTGGAAGAGGAAGCTTTCTAGCATCGAAGGCTTCGTCATGACCTTGAGTGTTTGGGTGTAGTGCCAGGTCACGGTCCTGACGGAAGCACCTCCCCTGGAAGTGAGGCCCACTGTTGGCAACGAGCAAGTGGGCCACCTCAAGACTGTCAACTGCTCCTGTCCTGCTGGACAAAAGGTTAGTGTTGAGATGATTGTGTTTCATCTGAGACATGCTGGATGGGTTTGGAAATAGGGGTATGACACTGTGCAAGTGAGTTATAAGAAGGGCTGTATTTGTTCGTGAAGCACTTTTAAGACCTAGTGGTGGAAAGCACTTCATAGAGAGAGCCAGGCATGTGTTGTTCACAGGTGGGATGTCTGTAGAGGTAACAGCAGTCTTTCCAGGTGCTTTCTCTTTACCTAATTCAGAGATTTTGATCATGCTGGTAGTCCTGGTAACAACCTTGAAAACAAAGTGGTTGTTCTTATCCAGCCTGGTTATGTGCATCCTTCTTCAAATAAAAGGAAGAGATTCTGGAGGTAAACATAGGCACGCTGAAAAAATCTCATAGCTTTTAAAAGCAGTGTGCTTGCATATATTGGCTGTGACTGGGACCTCTGAGAAGCCAGCTTCACTGTCATTGCTCTTGAGGGCATGTAATTTTCAGTCTGTTCTCCACTAAAACCTGAAAACATTTTTGTTGTCCTCAGTTGCTGTGGGATTGGGCCCCTTGCACTGTTATATAATGAGAAGATTAGTCTGACTAATCATGTTTTTTTTGTCTTAGGGGGAGAGAGGTCCAATTGGTCCTGAAGGTCCTAAAGGTCAAAAGGTCAGTAATATGTGCTAGTTCATTTGTTCAATAAAAACAACAACAACAACAACATCAACAAAGAAAACAGTTTCAGAGTAAGTTGAGGAGTTGATTTTGAGAAATAAGAGTCAATTTGGCATATGACTGAGTTCAGATGGTTTTGGATGAGCCTGGGAGTGCAGGAGACTGGCCATCTTGTATCTTTGCTCCAGGCTTGCATTTGAGCTTCTCTGTTGCTGCTTTATGTCATTCTTCGAGTAAGTGTGTTCCAAAATCTTTTCCTGTAGCTTCTAAACTGTCATTTTTGCAAGTTAGTGTTATTCAATAGGTCATGCACAGCTTTCATAAGTCACCCGGACAACCATGCGCTGCTTCTGTGCTGTGCCTTGCTCAGCAGTAATAGATACCCATCGGTTAGGTAGCAGCCTCCCATTCACACTCTACAAAACTTCCTGAGACTAGGGTAAAGGATTAGCCACAATCTGTTATCCTTAGTGTCGTGGTTTAACCCCAGTTGGCAACTGAGCACCACGCAGCCGCTCGCTCACTCCCCCCGCAGTGGGATGGGGGAGAGAATCGGAAGGGTAAAAGTGAGAAAACTCGTGGGTTGAGATAAAGACAGTTTAATAGGTAAAGCAAAAGCCACGCACACAAGCAAAGCAAAACAAAGGAATTAATTCACTACTTCCCATCGGCAGGCAGGTGTTCAGCCATCTCCCGGAAAGCAGGGCTCCCTCACGTGTAATGGTGACTTGGGAAGACAAACGCCACCACTCCAAACGTCCCCCCCCTTCCTTCTTCTTCCCCAGCTTTATATACTGAGCATGACGTCACATGGTATGGAATATCCCGTTGGCCAGTTTGGGTCACCTGTCCTGGCTGTGCCCCCTCCCAGCTTCTTGTGAACCTCCAGCCTTCTCAGTCGGTAGAGCACGAGAAACTGAAAAGTCCTTGACTAGTATAAACACTACTTAGCAACAACTAAAAACATCGGTGTGTTATCAACATTGTTCTCACCCTAAATCCAAAACACAGCACTGTACCAGCTACTAGGAAGGAAATTAACTCTATCCCTGCTGAAACCAGGACACTTAGCAAGATTGTCTGAGTCATGAGCTGATATTAAATATAGGCCCCTTTCCTCAGGACTCTTCTTCCTAGATAACAGAGTAGGAAAGTGGTTGTGATCTCTGCTTCAAGTTTCACAGTGCAACCTCTATATTGTCCTGCATATTCTGCAAGCTTCTTTGATATGCACATGTGTACATTCAGCATACACACATTTTCCTTCTGTGCTTGGTTACAAATAGAGCTGTGAGACATTGACTTAAAGGGAGCACTTGTATTGGAAGAAAATAAAGATTCACGACATTGCTGAGGTGGTGAAAGTTGGTGGTATTGGTCGTTCCCAGTTTCACCATCTGTGTGATTAGAAAGGTGTTTGGGAACAATTTGTATTCAAAACTATTTCCATCTGAATCACTTCTGCAAATCAGTCACTGAATTTATACCTGTTTAGTGAATAAACTAATTGCATCCCACCAAAAGTTACTCAGTTATTATGAAACACTGTGGGAGGAGAAAGGAGAAATCTCTGGGTCTTGGAAGGTCAGACATCCTCAGCAATGTGTTGTGGTTTTTTTTGGCAAGACTTGGTCCTCTGTCTGCAGGGAGAAGTTTTGGATGATGAGGAGATGTGTTTTGGAGTATGTTTTATGCTGGCATGAAAGAACATGGGCACATTAATGCTCAGATGTGCCTGACTGAAACTGCAGAAAATGTTTCCTTATGCTTCCACGCGTATATAAATAGCAACTTTCTATTTTAATCTGTGACAGCTTAAATAATGATGGGCTGTTTTAAAGAATGGCAGAGCCATGACTGTTGTGAGGAGGTTGCAGAAGGACGATGATGATAATAGTAAAAGCACCCTGCAGCAACATCCCGTTGTCTTTCACTGCTTTGACAAGGTCTATGTGCTGGTGAGGATGTCTGTACTGCGTAACATGGCACGCTGCTGGGCTGCAGGAGATACTAGTCGAATACAAAATAGTGTATATCCAAGCACAGCATCAGCAGGTTTTCTGTAATAGATCCCAAAATGGCTGTCCCACTCCAGCAGGTAGGTTGCTGAAGAGCTCTGCAGATGTGTGTGACTTTTCCCTGGCTGTATTGGTCTGAGACTTGTATACAGCTGAGGCAGGACTGTGTCACAGTCTCAGGGAGCTGGGGATGATGCCATTTAAATCCAGGCTCTGACAACAATTTGGTGCAAATGGGATGCATTTGAGACAAATTACTTAGCTTCTCTATCTTGCTAAATAAGGCAAGTAATAGATTTTGCTCCTGACTTGCAAAGATGTTATGATTAAATAACGTATACCAGCCTTGACAGCAGTTCTTGCATCGCTATTGCCAAGGACCAGCTTGTCACAGTCCCTGCTCTATGTGCAGGAACCAATATCTCTCTCCTCCTCTCTCTCTCTGCAACATTATCAAGCTACCCAGGCTAAAATGCTGGCTATGAGTAAGAAAGTGAATGCTATTTGCAACTTCCCAATATTACCACCTGGTACTTTATTAAGGCCCCACAAAAATATGTGTGGCTTCTGCATTATGTGGTCATAAGTGACAATAATACGTTTTAGGATCATTCAACTTGGGTCCTCATTTCTAAGGTGCAAGGGTAGTGTTTTAAAGCTTTGTTGTTGTGTAATGAGGAGGGCTGTAAAGTTTTTTTAAGGTAACAAATATCAAAGATTTCCATTTTTTACTTGAATCCAAAAGCTGGGGCTTCAGGAAACACTAAAAAAAAAGCCAAACCATAACATCTCTACTATACTCTTAGGTTTGATGAGAACAAGCTAACAAGCAAGTACAGCTTGGGGTTTGGTTTTGTTTTGTTTTCCCTAGACCAGTAGTAGCTGGTGGCTTTTTCACTCTTTATCTAAAGAAGGAATAATAGCTACGTGGTTCTTTCTGTTTTCTTTTTAAAAAAAAAGGTTAGTTGGAGGGTCTGTTAGGTAAAGTGAATGTGTCTGTCATCTATCTGAGTTGAAGATGGAGAGACTGGTGTTCAGGCTCTGTTATCCTGAGCTCCCATAGCGTATTCCTTCTTTTAGGGGAGGAGGTTTGGACAGGCTTTTCTTACAGTACCCTCTGACCAGTGGAAATATATGAAGTGTATAAGCAGTGCAGGAAGATAATGAGTTTCTGTTCCTCTCTAATTTAAGTCTCCAAAGGCAGGGCAAAACAGGAGATGAACACTTCTGCCTCAGTCATCCATGGTGCCAAACTGAAGGTAGTGCCTGGAGACACAGAGTACATGTTTTGGAAGGAGATACAGTAAAGGATGGTATTGGGGAAGAGCAAGGCAGGAAATAGCTTTGGAAGAATTGGCTAACATGCCTGAAGCTGGGTCCTACTGATAAATTTTAGATGCTAACGACAGCCCAGTCTACTTTATTTTTCTTCCGTACTCGCTCTGCATGCTGTGTTGTTTGCAGGCAGCCGGCTTGGCTGGTTGGGGCACTGGGCTGATGGTCAACAGGCTTCTGCTCTCTTCCTGCACTTCTATTGATCCGAGTTTAGAGAAAATCACTTCTCTGCGAGATCTGTTTTTGTCCACATCATAGAAATGGTATTGCTTACCTGTCTTTGGGAAGTTTGTGAAGTCCAGTGTATATAGGCATGCTCTGGCGGGATGTATTTTTTTCTCCAAATTAAAAAGGAGTTTTGGTGTACTTTAAGTGATTTAAAAGAGACGGTTGCATAAAAACTTGTATGAATTTTGCCACAGCCTACTTGAATTGTCTGTGACATTGTTTTTGCATATAAGCTACTTGCTCTGTGAGGTTTCTTTCTTTTGGCAAAAAATGATAAAGGTTAAAGAAAGAAACTTTAATATTTCCTGTGCTTTCAAAAGCCTGTCTTCATCTGAGGAAAAGAAAGCATGATCCAGACAAGTGTTTCAGTGTCTGGTGCAGCAAAGCACATTTTTTGGGGCATAGATCAGGACAAATTGAATAAAGCCACAAAATTAAATCCTACTGTGGTCCATGTGGGGAGATTTGGGGAGTACAGGGGTCATTTGACTTGTTGCTGCCGTGGTACTGGAGGGCCCTGCTCCGGGTCTGAGACTTTTTCCGCTTGATGCCATGTCTACACTGAAGTCCAAAGTGCCTGAACTCCCTACAAGCAAAAGGCGGTGGGAGGTATGAATAGGTGAGGACATGGTATTTGTAAGTGATGGATGGGAGCTCAGCACAGCGTGTTTCCGGTATATACCTTTTGGGTGAGAATCAGGCAGGAGCTAGGTAGAGGTGTGTGGGTAGAGCCCTCTGCTCTCCAGCAGCTCCGGTGCTAGAGGAATTGAAGGAACTGCTGGCAGCACTGCACATAGCTTTAAACTAGTCTTAATAATGGGTATATCCTCAGCTGGTCCTTCTTCCAGTTTTGTGGCTGCGGAGCAGTATGTGAAAATGATTTGCAGGTATTTTTTTCTGCACTTGCTGTTTTTGGCACCACTTTTAGTTCTGTATCTGATGAATATTTATGAAATGATGCATCTTCTTTGATTCTTTATCCCTTTCACCCATGTCCTTTTTAGGAGACAAGTGAAGAAAAAGTTTTGTTTGGTTTTTGATTGACCATTTTTCTCTTTTCCTCCCTATGTATTTCCTTCTGCAGTTTCATTCCTCTACCCATAATTTGTATGTTTTCAACTGTCTTTTTTCTGTTTCCTTCCCTCTCTTCCACTGGAGCAAGCAAGGAGAGCGACTCTGTGTGTGTTGCACACTTCTGTGAGGGAAGGGAGGAGTTAGCTGATCATGAAAATTTAGGGGGGGTGTGAATTTTTAAAAAAATAGCTCTAAAATCTTGACAATGTTTGCAGGTTTATTTTTTCCATATTTTAGGTATACACCCTCTAGGTCTTACGCAAACCACCCTTCCAAGTCCTTCCTGGCTAAATAGAAAATAAGGACTTCTGAAGTATGTCACAAGAGAAAGCTTTCTGCCTTGCCAGTGCACCCTGAAGGCTTCTAGCAGTATTTTCATATGAAAAATAGAATATAAAATCAATCTGAGAACTTGGGCATTCAAGTCAGTGAGGTACACCCAGTCCTTATGGCAGGAGCTAAAATCTTGGCAGTAGAGACTGGTGGGATGAGAAGTGTCCACAATCTCAGTCAAACCCTTGTTGCACTGCTTCCCAAAAAATCAAAGCAATGGAAAGCTGACCACAAAATACAAACACTAATGTGGTACACTTCACAAATGAGTCCAACATGGAGGTGTAAGGGGAAATCTCATCTGTTATTTCTATGCCTGTCAAGAAAGGAATTAATTAACTCTGTGGTATTAACACCCTTTCTTTTTCAAGGGAGAAAGTGGCAGCCAAGGGCTTCCTGGGCTCAGAGGAGAAAAAGGAGAGTCAGTAAGTAAGAAATAACAGAATGATCTTATGTAAGGAGATGGAAATACAAGTAGTTGTTTTCTCCTTTATGGTGAGAATTTGCTCCCAATGTCAATGTGCCCTGTTGAATATGTTCCCTCTGCTGGACCTTTATCCCAGGAGAAAGCTGATCTTCCTGGCACTCAGTGGCATTTCTTGGAGGGGGAGAAATGGGTGGGTTCACCCCTGAATACAGCTGATAACTGACTTAGTATTGGCCTTCTAATTAAAATATGTAACTTGGGTGTACTTGATTATAGCACAGCTGCACATCCGACGGGGACAATATGAGGCAACTCTACACAAAGAAGATGAAAATATCTCTCAACTCCTTTATATTCAGATGACCACAATACAGCTTTCCCCAGCTGCAATTAATGCAAATGCCAGACTGAGTTTTTAGGCGAGAAAATCTTTAACCCTATGTAAAATTCATTCTAATAAGGGTTGTTGGCATCTTTGATTTTGGAAATGTAATATCAGACTCTGCCCTGAATAGAAAATAACATGTTTTCCTGGCTGCAGTAGGACAATTTGGGATAGGTTTCCTATTTTAATTTGTTACTGAATTATTATCAAGGAATTATGCTGAAAGAAAATTACTTTCCCTATAGTAGCTGTCCTGTGACTTGCGTGTCTATATATGTATAGATGTGATATATATGGATAGATAGATATATCTCAGATATCTAACAAGGAAAACATGAAATATATATTTATAGTGTCGTTTGACATCCTTGCTATCACTTGTACCTTTTCCCCTCTTCTTTCATTTCTAGGGCAGAGCCTACGGCAGAGGAGAAAAAGGAGAAAAGGTAAGATCTAATCCTTCATTGGACTAATTAAATTAGAATCGCTTGCTGTTGCCTTCCGTAGCTCGGAGGTTGCTTTTGCAGTGTACAGGATGCAAGAGATGTGATACAGTTGGACCTTTGTGGGGAACTTTTATATTGTGTTATGCCTCCTTCTGCAGAAAAGCTTTTGAGTGTTCATTGCTTTTCCTCTTCATGTTCTTTGAGTTTCCTTTGTGCATTGGCCATGTAAAATGCCATCAAATTTAAATCATAATCTTTGCTTTGTGTAAGCAGCAGTGAGTTCGTGGAGGATAATGCAGTAAAGCAACTGGCTGGAAGGATGAAAAACAAAGGGAAAGTATAATTTTGGGTTTATTGAATTTTCAACAAGATTAAATTTGCATCATGAGGAGACTGCCACACTGTTTCTTTTCATTGTATGTTTTCATTAATAACCTGAAGGACAAAAGCTGGAGTATTTTCTTACTGCAAATATTAGGCAGGACAGTGTATTAAGACATGGAGGTTAAAATTGAGGATACAGAATAACCACTGAAAATTGCTAGGTTATCTATCTTGGAAAATGCGTTCAATGGCGATCAACAATGGCAAACAAGTAGCATGACTGGACTAATTTGCATGAAAAAAGATGTTGGTTTCCAGGCAATTCTGGCTGCAAACTTCCCATTCCCCACAACAAAATGAGGCTGCAGACCTAGACTGCAAAAAAGTAGCTCTTTCTCTCTGTAGCTCCATATCACACCTTGTTGTGGGTGTTTTCCTTACCACCAAAATGAAATTTCAAGTTATGTGGAACAATGGAAAAAGATTGACAGGAGGGTCTAGGAGATAGATGGATATATTAAGGAAGAAGTTATGGTCCGTACTGAAAATGGGATTAAGAATCTGTGGAGCTGTTTTCCAGGGGGTCTGTGGCTACTCGATTGCTCAGGGAATTTAAAATAATGTTGGATTGTGGTCTGAAAGGAAGAATGCTGCACTAGTGAGAACATGGCATTTATGGTCATTGCATCTTCTCATTTGTTCTTTCTATGATTATGATATATTGATTGTATATAGTGGTAATGCATCATATGAAATTACAATCTAAATGAGGGTTGCTCATGGCAGGAAATATTATCGAGCCAGGCTAGAGACTTGGGGGCTATAAAGCACACATTTCTGCATCCATCTTCCTGCAGTCCTCCCACTGACAGCCACTATTTAGCCTTTGAGACTCAGGATCCAGCCTTTGGATACCAGCTTGTGATTTGCAGGTGGTGAGAGTCAGCAGTCTGATGGCAAACACGATGTTTACAATATGAGTTGTGCTGCAGTTGAAGCAAGTTCTTGTTTTCTTATGTTTTGATCTCTGCAGAAAAGTGTCAGCAAACATCACTCCATCTGTATTATTGTCAAGCCTAGAACAATAGGTCTGCAAGTCTGGATTGGAGGGGAAAAAATAAAAAGACCCCACAGTATGTGCAAAACTTTGACTGGGATAGCCAAACAACACTAATTGGCCCAAATGAATGTGTAGGCAGAGAGATCCCTGAGTTTATGGCCAACTTGTTTTGTTTATTTGGTACTTATGCCAGCTGAGGCAGCTTGTCCTCATCTGTGGAGGAAGTGTATTTGGTACCCGGTGTGTTTGTGCCCCATGTCTGCCTGATGGCTGGGTGTCAGTGCTGTTGCCGATGGAGAGCAAAGATATATCAGCTGTACATTGCTGGCTTGATTAAAAAGGGAGCCTGGGGATACAGAATCATAGAACATCTCAAGTTGGAAGGGACCCATAAGGATCACAGAGTCCAACTCCCTGCTCCTTGCAGTACTACTTAAAACTAAACCATACGACTAAAAGCGTCATCCGGAACTCTGACAGGCTTGGTGCCGTGACCACTTCCCTAGGGAGCCCGTTCCAGTGACCGACCACCCTCGCCATGAACAACCTTTTCCTAACGTCCGACCTGAACTTGCTCTGATGCAGCTTCATTCTATTTCCTCGTGTCCTATCGCTGGTCACCAGAGAGAGGAGATCAGCACCTCCCCTCCACTGCCCCCCTTGAGGAAGCTGTAGACTGTGATGAGGTCACCCCTCAGCCTTCTCTTCTCCAAGCTGAACGAACCAAGTGACCTCAGCTGCTCCTCCTAAGTCTTGCCATCGAGACCTTTCACCATCTTAGTTGCCATCCTCTGGACACTCTCTAATAGTCTGATGTCCTTCTTATATTGAGGCACCCAAAACTGCACACAGTACTCGAGGTGGGGCTGTACCAGTGCATGTTTGGCATGGGACAATCACCTCCCTCGACCAGCTAGCTATGCTGTGCTTGATGCACCCCAGGACACAGTTGGCCCTTTTGGCTGCCAGGGCACACTGTTGACTCATATTCAACTTGCCATCAACCCAAACCCCCAGATCTCTTTCTGCGGGGCTGCTCTCCAGCCCCTCATCCCCCAATTTGTACATATAACCAGGATTACCCCGTTCCAGGTGGAGAATCCAGCACTTGCTCTTGTTAAATGATGCTGATGGGACTTCCATCCCAGGAGCATGACAAGGTGCTGTGATCCCACAGTGATAGGATCAGTGCAAGAATGTATAATGAGCTTGAAACAAGAATTTTCATTGCTCGTGTTTTTCTTTTCTGAACATGCAATCCCTTGGATTATTTGTTGTCCAGGCACACTAGTGTAAAGCCCCTGATCCACCCAAGTGAATTCCACTCTGAAGAGAAAAAGAGGTCCAGAAACAAGCCTTCCCTTTTCCACAAGGTGGAAAATGCCTAGGTGGCATACAGTCTGTATACCTGTTTTTACATTCCTACCCTCACATTGCAAGCAAGCAAAGGTTTTGGCCAACTCGGGCACAGTACACAGGTAGAGTGCTTTCATGAGAAAGCAGATGAGTCGCAGCGACTACATGCCTCATCTCAGAAAACCAACTTAGCAGTCAGAAAGGGAGAAGAGGGTTGCAAGCTACTTTATAAACCCATGTTCATGACATCCATTTGTTGTTTGTCTTGGGCAACTCTCACAGTAAAGTGATACTGCGGAAGAGTTGTTCAGAGCATAGCCAGACATCACAATCCTGATAGTGCTATTGTAGGGGCAAAACAGAGTAGCCTTTCCTCCACACTAAGCTTCTGTATTACACAGATTAGCTTCCAGGTAAGTAGCAGAGCTACAGTATCCCCAACGGCACCACCTCTGCTGATCTCAGTGAAACCTACCAGAGATACAGGCTAGAAATTAATTAGGAACTTACTCTAGTGCAAACAATTATAGAGGAGAAAGCTGAAGTGGGCAAGATGCAAATGAAGTCTTTTCGTGGCTGTGCCTCTGATAGCACTGGCACAAATTTCAGCGAGGAAGTATGAGAAGCCTAAATAAATATGTTTACAATACAGCCTTGCAGGAGAGCTGGAAGGCTGTCTGACCACAGATGCTTGCATTGCTCAACTGACAGCACCCGTGGCACAGAAGCACACATTACACTGGACAGTGCTATTGTGGGAAAGTGCTTAAAGAAGAAAGAGAAGACAATTCTGAACTTGTGGTTAAAGCCAGAGTAGTATGAGCATATTCCCGTTGGACTGTGCTATAACCCGCAAGCCTTGGGAGCCCATGGAGCCAGCCATAAAAGTCAAACAAATCCTTTCTGATTCAGCATAATTTCTCTCCCTTTCTTGCAACCAACATCTCTTCTTCAGCCATACAATTAAGGCCACCCATTCCTTTTAACAACAGACACTCGATTAGACCCCTTGGGTCAAACTCAGCTTTAGCAAGGCCAGGTCAGAACTATAAGGCTATTTCTAATACCAGGAAAATCTTACTGATTATGGCTGATTTTTCCAACTGCATTTCCTTCATTTTGGCACTCCTGTTTGCTCTCTCTTCTGTTGTAGTTTGTTGTTTTTTTTACCTGATGTCCCGTATTAACAACTGATTTGTTTTCCATTCTTTAAATTCAAAGACAGGTACAGTGGTGTCTTCTCATCAGATTATTTTCAGTGAAAAGGACCGCAGTTTGGCTGGATTCTGGGAGCCCTTTGGCTGAAAGTGATGCCCATAATATAGGAATAACTTAACTCCTTATAGGATCAAAAGATGGAACCTGTACCCATTCAAAGCATTCCCACAGCTCCTACTGAGTGTTACGGGTGCATGGTGAGGGGCTGTAAGGGCCAGGCCTTCAGAGAGGGAATTGCTCAGTGTTCTCAGGAGCTTTGGATTCAGGCATGGGTGCTCAGCACCTCTCAAAAGCCAGCCCTGCAGGACTTAGATTTTGAAACTGAGGATATATAAATGGTTACAGGACTGGTGCCACAGCCAGGGGTTCAGCTACTTAGCTCAGCCAAGCTGGCCTTCTGCCCTGCTTGCTTGACTTCCAACACTTTGGAATTGCCTCCTCCCGCGCTCTTAAGAGATGGCTCTTAAAAAGTGACCAACATTCATGGACCCCAATACCTTAAAAAGTAGATTCCCAGGAGACCGTACTAATTAGCTCCTTCAGTAGCCCAAAGGTTGCTCTCCCTGTATCCAGAATCAAAGTTTTGCTAGCAGTTTTTCTCCTATCACCAATGATTTGAAACTCAACTACTTCATGGTCACTGTGACCAAGACAGCCATTTCGCCTACGAGTCCCTCTCTGTTTACAAACAAATCTAGGAGGGCACCTTTCCTAGTCGGCTCCCTTAGTACCTGCACCAAGAAGTTATCTTCAATGTGCTTCAGAAATTTCCTGGACGTCTTTGTGTCCACTGTATGATATTCCCAGCTGACGTCTGGGAAGTTAAAATAACCCATAAGGACAAGGGCAGTTGATCTAGAGATATCCCTTAATTCCTTGTAGAATAATTCATCAGTGTTGTCATCCTGTCTGGGTGGTCAATAGTAGGATCCCACAAAATCCCCTTTATTTGCTTTCCCCTTCATCCTTACCGAGTCAATCTCAACCGTGTCATCGCCAACTGCAAGCACCACACAATCCAACCCCTCCCTTAAATACAGCG